TCTATCTATCTATCTATCTATCTATCTATCTATCTATCTATCTATCTATCTATCTCTATCTATCTATCTATCTATCAATCATCTATCTATCTATCTATCTATCTATCTATCTATCTATCTATCTATCTATCTATCTATCTCTATTGCTATCTATCACTATCTATCTCTATCTATATCTTATTCTCTATCTATCTATCTATCTATGTATCTATCTCTCTGTCTATCTATCCTCTACCTACCTACCTACCTATATCTATCTTATTCTCTCTCTATCCAATCATCTCTATCTCTCTCTCTCTATCTATCTAATTCTCTATCTATCTATCTATCTATCTATCTATCTATCTATCTATCTATCTATCTATCTTATTTTCTATCTCTCTATCCAATCATCTATCTCTATCTCTCTATCTCTACCACTATCTCTCTCTCTATCTATATATCTTTATCTATCTATATCTCTCTCTCTCTATGTATCTATCTCTCTCTCTCTCTCTAATCTAATCTATCTAAGACCTGTCTGTCTATCTCACGTGTGTCTTCTCTGTATATTTATCTCTATGTCTATCTATCCATCTCTATCTTATTCTCTCTCTCTCTCTATCACTATCTATCTATCTATCTATCTATCTATCTATCTATCTATCTATCTGTCTGTCTGTCTGTCTGTCTGTCTGTCTGTCTGTCTGTCTGTCTGTCTTATTCTCTCGCTATCCAATCATCTCTCTCTCTCTCTCTCTCTCTCTCTCTCTCTCTCTCTATATATATATATATATATATATATATATATATATATATCCTTTAAAATTCTAAAAATTGGAGGATGACTCCTGGGTAAATTCATGTTCGAAGGGTCACAAGCATATATATATATATGTATCTATATCTATCCTATCTCTCTCTCTCTCTCTAATCTAATCTATCTATCACCTGTCTGTCTGTCTATCTCATGTGTCTGTCTGTATGTCTTGTCTGTATATTTATGTCTGTCTATCTATCTCTATCTATCTTATTCTCTCTCTCTCTCTCTCTCTCTTTCTCTCTCTCTCTCTCTCTCTCTCTCTATCTATCTCTATTGCTATCTATCACTATCTATCACTATCTATCTCTCTATCTAACTATCTATCTATCTATCTCTATTTCTATCTATCTCTATCTCTCTATCTAACTTTATCTATCTCTCTATCTATCTCTCTATCTATCTATCGAGAGAGGGAGAGACAAAGAGACAAATAGATATATATTTATATTTATTACCTTGCATTTGAGAAAGAAGTCCTTGTAACCCCCTTTGAGGATGTAGAGCTCTGGGTAGTGCAGGCTGGGATACTGGTTGCCGAGCCGGTCTCGTTCCCTGACAAATCGGCACCTGGCGGGGTGAGGAAGAAGAGGAAGAGGAGGAAGAGATCAAACAAGGCCCCTCGCTCTTGACAGACAGACAGACAGACAGACATGGAGGGCGGCGACAGCTGAGAAGATCTTTGGGGCAGAAACTGGAGCAAAGGAGGAAGAGGAGCGGGATCGAATTCAAGCACACCGGAGGCCCAATTCAGAGAGCCAGCCTCTTCCTCTTCCTCGGCTCAAGCAGCCCGCCAGCCCTCTTCTTCGCAGAGGCAGAGGAGCATGGTCTTTGGGGTACTTACATCCGGGGGGCCCGCTCGGAGGAGAACTCGCAGTGGAAGACGACCACCACCCGCCGGCCGCCGGAGGAGGCCACGGGCGTCTTCAGCAGATAGTCTTCCACGTCTTCCTCCATGGGAAGGTTGACGGCGCCCTGGAGGGAGGACCGAGGGAGTTGTCGAAACAAAAAGGAGACGGTTTGTGAGTGTGGCTTTTCGCCACAACGGCACAACTTCGAAGGCGAGCTGGTCGGCGAGAGAAGCCGGCAACATCCGGGGCACTTTGGAGCTATTTGAGGCGTGAGATTTGGAGGCTGCCCGTGGCCTCAAAAAGGCGACCCTTGGGCTATGTACATGGATATGCTAGATAGACAGACAGATGATAGACAGACAGACAGACAGACAGACAGATGATATAGAGATAGATAGACAAACAGATATAGAAACAGATATAGACAGTCAGACATAGGGATAGACAGAGTAGACAGACAGACAGACAGACAGATGAGATAGATAGATAGATAGATAGATAGATAGATAGATAGATAGATAGATAGATAGATAGATAGATAGATAGATAGAAAGATGATATACAGAGACAAACAAAGATATAGAGATATAGATAGATGATATAGAGATATAGAAAGAATATAGATAGATAAAGAAAGATAGATAGATAGATAGATAGATAGATAGATAGATAGATAGATAGATAGATAGATAGATAGATAGAGATAGATAGATAGATAGATAGATAGATAGATAGATAGATAGATAGATAGATAGATAGATAGATAGATAGATAGAGATAGGTAGCTAGGAAGGTAGGTAGGTATAGATATACATAAATGGATGGATGGATAAACAGATATAGAGATACATAGAAAGATAGAAAGATAGATAGATAGATAGACAGACAGACAGACAGACGAGAGGATGAGAGAGAAAGAGAGAGAGGCAGGCAGGCAGACAGAGACAGACATAGATGTAGACAGACAGATATAGACATAGGGATAGATAGACATGATGGATGGATGGATGGATTGATGGATAGCTAGCGATAGATAAATATAGAGATGGATAATAGAGATGATGGATGATAGATAGCTAAACAGATACAGAGATAGAGATAGAAATATAGATAGAAAGATATAGATACATAGATGATACACAGATAGACAAAGAGATATCGATATAGAGGTATAGATAGATAGATGATATAGACAAATATAGAGATATAGAGATATAGATAGATAGATAGATATAGATAGAAAAATAGATAGAGACATAGAGATATATAAAGAAAGAGAAATGATAGATAGATAGATAGATAGATAGATAGATAGATAGATAGATAGATAGATAGATAGATAGATAGATAGAGATAGGTAGGTGGGTAGGTAGATATAAATGGATGGATGGATAAACAGATATAGAGATACATAGAAAGATAGATAGATAGATAGATAGATAGATAGATAGATAGATAGATAGATAGATAAACAGAGATAGAGATAGAAATATAGAAAGATATAGATACATAGATACATAGATGATACACAGATAGACAGACAAAGAGATAGAAATATAGAGATATAGATAGATGATATAGACAAAGATATAGAGATATAGATAGAAAGAGATATAGATAGAAAGAGATATAGATAGATAGATAGGTAGGTAGGTAGGTAGGTAGGTAGATAGATAGGTAGATAGATAGATAGATAGATGATATAGAGATAGATATAGATAGAAAAATAGATATAGAGATATATAAAGAGAGATGATAGATAGATAGATAGATAGATAGATGATATATAGATAGAAAAATATAGAGATTATAAAGAAAGAGAGATGATAGATAGATAGATAGATAGATAGATATAGATAGATGATATAGAGATAGATATAGATAGAAAAATAGATATAGAGATATATAAAGAAAGAGAGGTGATAGATAGATAGATAGATAGATAGATAGATAGATAGATAGATAGATGATATATAGATAGAAAAATATAGAGATTATAAAGAAAGAGAGATGATAGATAGATAGATAGATAGATAGATAGATAGATAGATAGATAGATGATATAGAGATAGATATAGATAGAAAAATAGATATAGAGATATATAAAGAAAGAGAGATGATAGATAGATAGATAGATAGATAGATAGATAGACAGACAGACAGACAAAGAGATATAAGAGATATAGACAGACAGAGACTTCACCTGGGGGAAAATAAGCGAGTGGGACAACGTAGCCCGGCTTTCTCTGTGAAGAGCATCTCCAAGCACCCATCCCAGGAGACCGCCCCGTCGTGACGGAGACTAAGACGCCCGGCATCACAGCCACAGCTGGCTTGGAGCACCCGACGGGCCACAGCTGGCCAAAAGGGACTGCTCCCCACCCCCCCACCCACCCCCCCATTGTTCCAGAGGCCGAATCCTTGGGGCTGAGCCGCCCCACCCCACCCCGCCTACCTTGATGTGACCCCCTTCGTACTCGTAGGGAAACCGGCAGTCGATGATCAGGCACCGTTTCAGGGAGACGGAGAAGCTGCCGTTCAGGACGGCCACGATCTGCGAGAAGAAAAGAGAAGAGAAGAGAGAGAGAGAAAAAGAAAGAAAAGAAAAGGGTGAGAGACAGCTTGGAACCGAGGGAGGCCGCATTCACTTGGGATTCGAAGTGACAATCGCCAAGTTGGAAGGGACCTCGGCGGTCATCCAGTCCAACCCCCGGCTCGAGCCAGGAGATCCTTTACAGAATACATTTGAGTCGGAAGGGACTTCGGAGGTCATCTCGTCCAACCCCCGGCTCGAGCCAGGAGACCCTGACAGAATTACAAGAGTTGGAAGGCTCCTTAGAGGTCATTTAGTCCAGCCCACTGCTCCAGCAAGAGAGCCTTACAAAACAACAAGACTAGGGAGGGACTTTGGAGGTCATCTAGTCCAGCCCCCCTGCTCAAGCAAGACTCCCTTTACAAAACAACAGACTAGGAAGGGACCTCGGAGGTCATCTAGTCCAAACCCCTGCTCAAGCCAGGAGATCCTTACAGAATAACAAGAGTTGGAAGGGACCTTGGAGGTCATCTAGTCCAACCCCCTACTCAAGCAGGATACCCCTACAGAATAAGAGTTGGAAGGGACCTTGGAGGTCATCTAATCCAACCCCCTGCTCAAGCAAGAGACCTTTACAAAACAGACTAGGAAGGGACCTTGGAGGTCATCTAGTCCAACCCCCTGCTCAAGCCAGGAGATCCTTACAGAATAAATTGAGTTGGAAGGGACCTCGGAGGTCATCTAGTCCAAACCCCTGCTCAAGCCAGGAGATCCTTACAAAACAGACTAGGAAGGGACCTTGGAGGTCATCTAGTCCAACCCCCTACTACTCAAGGAGACCCCTACAGAATAAGAGTTGGAAGGGACCTTGGAGGTCATCTAGTCCAACCCCCTGCTCAAGCCAGGAGATCCTTACAAAACAGACTAGGAAAGGACCTTGGAGGTCATCCAGTCCAACCCCCTGCTCAAGCAAGGAGACCCTCACAGAATAACAAAAGTTGGAAGGTACCTTGGAGGTCATCTAGTCCAGCCCCCTGCTCGATCGGGAGACCCTCTACCATTTCGGACAAAGTGACCCGTCCAGTCGCTTCTGAAAAAACCTCCAGCGACGGAGCACCCACCACATCTTGTGGCAAGCAGTCCCCCTGGTTAACTGCCGTCCCTTTCAGGAAAGCTCTCCCTATTTCTAGGTTGAATCTCTCCTTTGATCAGCTTCCATCCATTGTTCCTTGTCTGGCCTTCAGGTGCTTTGGAAAATCACACACACACACACACACACACGGATGCACGCCGTTCTTTGGGGCCGACCCGCAAATATCGGAACACGGCTATGTTGTCACCGCACTCCTTCTTTTCCTCAAACTAAGACCTACCCAAATTTGGTTTTTTTCCCCCTCTTCTCTGCCATCGCCCCCCCCTCAAAATATTATCGCGTTATCCATTTCATCAAATTAACTCTAATTAGGGGAAACGAATGCAGCCGGATGTGGGCGACCGCCTTCCTGGTTTGTTTGTTTTTAAGACCCAAGAAAAAGTCACGAAACACGTTCCCTAGAATCCCAGGTCTCCCCGTACCATTTCCGGATCGATGTATTTCAGGTCCTGATGTTTGCCGTCGACGGTGTGGAACAGGTACGCCTGCCGAGACATGACAAAAAGAATAAATAAAATAATAAAATAAAATAATAAAATAATATAATATAATATAATAAAATAGTTGCTCAGAGGGAAAGACACAGACAGGTAAGCCTGCCGAGACACGACAAAAAGAATAAATAAAAGAATAAAATAAAAGAATAAAATAAAAGAATATAATAAAATGAAATAGTTGCTCGGAGGGAAAGACACAGACAGGTAAGCCTGCCGAGACACGACAAAAATAATAAATAAAATAAAATAAAATAAAATAAAATAATAAAATAAAATAAAATAAAA